TGTTAAAGCGGACACTACCACTGTTAGAGTTTTAGAATATCTGTATTGATCTTTTAATTTTGTATCTCTAGATATATTACCTTCAATAATTTTGGCATTAGAATTATGTTCTTTGTACTCATTATCTTGTCTTGATGTATTTTCTGTTGATATCGTTTTAATTTCATTTGTGTCTTTATATATTTCTTTAACGATTTTAGGTCTTCTAAGTTCAGTGCTTGTTTGTCGAAGTGTAGTAGGTATTCTTGTAGTTTTAGAATCCAATTTAGGGATTCTCTTCTTTGGATATTTATCATCTGGTTCGACGCGCTGAAATTTTAACAATAGTTTAATATCGTGAAAAAGTAATCGTGTGTTTAAAATCGTACTAATATTATAATAGCGAAAGTTAAGATGGATGTTTGGAGTTTGTAGCCTAAATTGCTAAACAGATCTCGATGACAGTCATAGATGTAGAGGATAGTCTGGAAGACCACATTCGCTTGCTATTGTTTCTTTTTTAACAAGACGAGGACAGAGTGGCAGCCGAAAGCTAGTAATGTTTATTAAACAAATGAGTTAGTTGATTTTTAATTAAAAACTTACCTCAAACATTTGGATTTTTGATATAACAGATATTTTCTTTGGTAAATCATTTGTATTCTTTTCCACAGACTTCGTATTGTCTATAGAACTGATTCTTTGTATAACTCTGTTTACTTTCCCTCGTAGTATCGGTATATCTTCTTCCATAGGTGAACCAACATCTTGTATATTGTTCTCGCTTGTATTAAATTTAGAATCTACTTCTTTAGTTTCTTTTGTAATGCCAAATGATTGTTTATTTTGTGCATTCATTTTTGTGAACACTTCGGAGTAAATTTTATTTATTTCTTCGGTGCTTTGTGTGTTTAGAGTAGATTTTGTTACATCTCTTGTGTTTAAAGTATTGGAAGCAGTTAATTTATTACTTGTTAGAGTTTGTTTATTTACATTAGAGTAAGATGACGAGTTTTGTGTAACCGTTTCTTTTAATTTATTGTTTGCTGAAAAAGAAATCGATTTTGTAGTTAACCTATCGTTTTTGTTTAACGCTTGATTATTGTTTCCAATTTCTTCTATTTTAGGTATATTTTTATTTACATCAGTGGTAATAGCTGAGTTGTCTTTACCAGTATTTGTTTTGTTTTCTATATTTTTGTTTGCTTCTGAAGTTTTCTTTGAATCGATATCAAATTCTATATTTTCATATCTACGTGATAATTCTTCAAGCTTTGTACTTTTGTTTCTTTTGTTTTTTAAACATTCTATCGAAATATCTTCATGTGCTTGAAGGTTTTCAGTTTCTATTGTTTTAGGTACTTTAAGAGAAAAATCTTCAAAAGTTTTATCCAATTTTTGATTTCTTTTATCATTTTCTTTTGATGTATTTGATTTTAATGATTGTATTGATGATTCTATACTTAATCTATTGTCTTTGATGTCTAGAGTTGTATTTGTTTGTGATAAATCGTTTTTAGAAGATGCTATTTTATCAAAATCTAAGGTTTCTGTTTTATCCGACATTTTATCTAGCTTTTCCTTTTCATTGCTTTCAGTAGTTTTTTGTATTATTCCTGAAGTTATAGTTTTAGACGTATTAGAATTCTCCTCAAGCGATACTTGTCTAACAGAAGTTTTAAAGCTATCAATTCCAATATTCTCTTGTAGTTTTGTACTATAACCTTCATCTGTTATTACAGATATTGAAGAATTTGAATTCGATTTTTTAAAAGTTTTATATTCTTCAAGTGAACCTTCTCTGACAATAAGATTGGTGCATAATTCAATTGTTTTGGTATCATACGATTCTTGTTCAATGTCATTCCTTTCTTTTGTTTTAACAGACTGTTGCAAAGTTTCTGACGCACTACTATTGACTTCTAATAAGAGTTTCGAAGTTTTTGAAGTAATATTTACAGCTTTATTATCTAATGTTTCATTTGTTTCTGAAGAAACTTGTCTAATAGAAGATTGACTACCGATTTTAATATCGCTTTGTTCATTTGTTTGGAGAAATTGTGTTGTTTCTTTACTTATATT